TTTATATTTAAATTTTGTATTTAAATTTAAAATTAAAATTATTAATGAATAGGAAAGATTATGTGCTGTCTCATAAATCTCTTCTGCGTTATTATTATTATTATTATTCCAATTATGATGATTAATTTCTTCAATAATTTTATCTTGCATTACAGGTCTAGTAGCTAGTATATATGTCGAATAAGCAAGTGCTGTTGATGCTGTTTCATAACCAGCTACTATACAAAGGAAAATATTCGGCATTAGTTCATCGGATTGTAATACTTTTAACATTAAACGATCATCAGCATAATCCTAAAAAAATGAACAAGATTTTGATATATAATAATTATTTACAATTTAACAATTTCAAATACACTACTCTTATATTCACAACGTATTTTAGCATCGTAAAAAGCATTTTTCAATTTCAGTCCATTTTTTATTTAATATATGACTAGTAGCTGAACATATTTTACTTTTTTACGTGCCACCATGGATGAGTTGCTACGTTTGTTCGACACGTATCTACAAGATATTGTGTGCAAACTTCAGTACTATCAGCTATGCAATGATCCTGGATAAGTCACTAACGACTATTTGTCTCGAATCCCCCGTCCGATAGTATGCTGACTACCTTGTGACATACACCTACTCTTATAGTTAGTCAATGTGTATGAAAAGTGCAAGAACTCCGCGTCAGATTAGACTTCTATCCAAATCTACAGTTAGTCATAGTTGTAGGAAAGATATCGGATTATTAATTTTCTTTTCATGCACTGACACTCACGTCCTTTTGTCTCTTCTCTTCTCTGGTTATAACACGTTCATATTCATTTGTTAATAAATAAAAATTTCAAAATCTATTGTTATTCACACATCTGCAATATAATCTCTTTCTTAAAGAAAAATTTTCATCTATTTGACTTACTATAACTTTATCATTAGTCGTAGCATCCATCATAAGTTGTAATAAATCTACACGTTTATTCAAATTCGATGAAGATTTTCTTCAAAGATTAACTACATCTTGAACACGATTTATCAACGATAAATTTGGAATTTCTTGTATATAATTATCTAAAAACGGTATCAGTTCGATTAATTTAATACAAATAGTTGCTATACCAAACAAAATATGATGTAGAGGACGTGATAGAATAGGTATTAAATTGCTTAATCGAACAAATTGTAATTCATTAAGATCTATCTTAAAAACTGCAGCCGATATTTGTAAATATGGATTATTTATATCATTTTGCATATCAGTATCAATACCAAATGCACAACGACCTAAAAATACACAAATAATATATCATTTATATTAATCTACTTACAAATAACATTCATTGTCAGTCGCTTGTATAACTCATAAATGTGGATTTCTGTATGTTCATTATTGGTCATCTGTGACAATTTATTTAACATAACTTCAATACATCCATGTACTAATGTAGACATTAATTTAAGTTTAGCAGATGAAAACGTTGGATTAAGAACGTGTCGTTGACGACGCCATCTTGCTCTACTAGCTCGAAGCAAATGAACACTTTCGGAATCTTCTATACGTAAAATATTTGCTATATTGAGTGAATGAAATGATGAAAATTGTTTTATATAAACTTCTTGAAGAAAACCAACATCCGAAACAACATACATAAGTGTTGTACCCATGAATAATCCATAAATAGAACTATATTGACGAGTCCATTCTTGTAATTGTCTTGAAATTGATTTTACTGACCAAAGATCTTTATAATGACCAAAAAAGAAACGATGTTGTGGTCCTGATATACCAAGACGTTTGAAATAATCATGACGATTGTTGATTGTCTATAAATAGATAACAACAAGACCAGTCACAATAGATATAAGAGTAATGGTTAAGAACATTTTTTTTTGTTTGAAGCAAAAAACAAAATTTTGGTTGCTTGTTTTTGTTTGCTTACCATATATTAGTTGTTGTGCTTCTTACGATGCATGCTTTATATAGATTGAAGAACGTTCTTTAGCATCCTTTTCGTATGTTATCATGTTACCTTTTATACATGTTGACAGAGAAGCCCAACGAAAGAACATACGTCTTCGATTAAAGATAAATAAGTGATATCAAAATTTGAATAAATAATATGTTCTGAGTCATTCGATTACATTTTTTTGTTTTTGTTTTTGTTTCTTGGATAGTATTTCAATATTTTTCGAAGAAAGATCCGAGTAGTAATTAACCGATTAATAATCAGTATGGATTATTAAATATTATTGGTGAACCATCTAAATACAATTTAAGAAATATGTGACTTTACTTTTTTTGAAACAAATGTATATAGAGCCGTGTGGTTCTAAAAAATACTTGGAATTAGAAAATCATGGTTCCGGTTCGTAAAAACGAAAAAAAAAACCGATTTCAATTTCAGTTCCTAAAAAAGTATCTTTGGAATCGGTGATTTATTAATAGTATATCAAATAACTAATGAGAGTTATTTTTAGAAATTTTTATCTTTCATTATGAGAACTTGTTGATATTTATTATTTTATTGAAAAATTCATTTCTTGGAAAAATAAGACAAAAAGAGAAAGACTATAAAAAGGGCGTAGTTGTGGTTACTGATAGTCTCTCGTCCTATACTCATACTTACATCCTAAACATTTCTAATTATTAGTAAAAAATTTTCGATTCCAGTTTTTTTTTGAGAACGACAAGACTTCAAATATTTAATACGAAATCATAGTTTAATTGTGTACTGTAGTATTGAACTATATTAGAAAAAGTCTTATAAATAATAAAAATTGCATGGCTTAATTTTAATAAAATTACATTTATACTTGAAAGTTAGAAGCTAGTTGAATTGATTCAATGGTTGATTACTTATAAGAACAAATATTTTATTTCATAATGATAAACTCAATAAGTTCTATAGATTTGAATAAAAAATAAATTGATTTCAAATATAAAGTTCAATCGATAAGAACTAATTAATTTACTTCAACAATCAAAATAAACGACATTTATTTTCAGTACCAATCAATTTTAATTTTTTAAAATTCGTGTCATATGAAAAAAAAAAAATTTTTTTTAACTCTATTCTCTTAATCATTGTTCTTCTTCTATATTAAAGGAAGCAAATTTTACCAAAAATTCTATTATTTTTTTTTTTACATTTTTCACGAACGTTTACAGTACGGGAACATTTTTTCTTGCTTCTGTTTGCACAACACATAACCAACAACAATTTTTTTCATGGTCGTCGACGAAAGGAAGAGGAAAAAAAACACATTACTCCCAAAGCAAACCATACGTAGAATATTATAGATGCAGAAAGAAAGAAGGATAAGAACAAGTCAAGTCGCGACGTTTCATTTTATTTTATGTTGGAAAAAAAGTAAAAAAGAAAACAATTCGATATATGGCGACGTCTGCAACGACACATAAAAGTACTGAACATAAACAATCAGCAAGAAATGGTCTTTCACTTGTTTGGCTTGATGATAATGCTGGTCAAGATCCAAATGCACAAGAAATATTTCGTGCTCTTTTCGAACAAGTTTTTATATTTACCGATAGTGCAGCATGTCTTGAATTAGTTGAATCAGCTGAAACTGAAACACCATGTATATCACTTCTTGTTTCGGGTAAATATGGTCAAATGTTTGTACATGATCGTTTTCAACCATTAAATCCAATTAAAGATATTTATGTTTATTGTTTTGATACTGCCAAACATAATCAATGGGCACAACAATGTGATAAAGTTCGATGTGTTGATTCTGATTTTGGTATAATACTTAAACATATGCAACAAGCTGTAAATAAAACTTTAAAACAACACCACCACCACCACCAACAACAACAACAACCCATTGATGATCGACAAGAACAAGAAGAAATACAAGACGAACCTGAAACGAAAGAATTAGAACGTTTTTTAGATGATAATAATTTATATGATCAACTTGCGCTTGATATTTTACTTCAAAATGCTGATCATGATGATGGTATTGAAGATTTTAAAAATTATTGTCAAACACATGTAGAAAATAATAATGAAGAACAAGCAAATGAACAAGAAAAATCTTTTAAACCAAATATTCCAATTAAACAATGGTATAAACAAGATTTAGTTTTTATTAATTTAAATTCAATTAATTTAACACAATTATGGACACTTCGTTGGTTTATAAGATTATTTTATCGACAATTAACTAATGAATATGAAGATTTTATTCAAGATAAAGAAATTATTAAAGTTAATTATGGTTCATGGTTAACTACAGATGAATTCGATGCAATGAAACATCGTATTGGTGAACATTTTATTTTTACAGAACTTCTTATGACATATGCAAATAGAAATAATGCATTGGAGTCTATAAAAGATGAGAAAAGTGAACAAAAAAAATATAAAGTTATATTTGAAATAACTGTTAATAAAAATAATCATCATACTGTTCCTTATAGTGAAATTCAAGATAATGAAGTTTTATTTTGGTTTGGATCTCGACATCGTATTATGAAATTAGAATATATTGAAAATCAAGATGAAGATAAAGATTCATATTGGTTAATTGGTGTAAACTTATGTACAACACTTGATAGACAAGAATCTATTGAAACTTTATATGAATATTATCGAAAAGAATTAATAGAATTAAATAATATTCATTATGCATTAGGTCGAATTCTTATGTATAAAGGTTGGTATTATGAAGCAGAAAAATGGTTACAAACAACTAATCATTATAAAGATTTAGCTGAATTAGCTATACGTCAAAATCAATGTGAACGAGCAAATCAATATCTTGAACATTTATCAGAAGATTCTGATGATGCTAATTTATTACGTGCATATGTAAATTTATTATCATCAAATGATAATATTGCAAAAGGACGTACGCTTTTAATGAAAATTGGTAGTGATGCAACAGATAAAATTATTCGAGCTCGAGTTAATATTGGTCTTGGTTTTATTAATTTAGTTGTTTCACAACAAAATGATCAAGCATTAGATTATTTTATATTAGGAAGTAAAACATTATGTAAAAATTTACCTAATATTCATCCTGATATTGCTAAATCATATATTGGAATTGGTTATGCATATTATGCTCAAAATAAAATACAAGATGCTGAAAAATATTTTCAAATGGCTTTAACAATACAAAAACAATCATTACCATATATACATTCTGATGTTGCTAAAACTCATAGTGGTATTGCTCATTGTTTATCAATTCAAAAACAAACAATTCAAAAAGCATTAGAAGAACTTCAATATGCATATAATATTTTAATGCATACATTATCTCGTGAATATAAAAAACATCCACAAATCTTATTAACTAAAATTGATATTGATAGAATACGAAAAGGAAAAGAATTACATGTACGCAATACATTACTTGATTATATTTAACAATTATTAATATACATTCATTATAGGAAAAATAAAGAAACATAATCTATAATATAAATATAGACATATATTAATCCTTTTTTCAAAAATAGTGTGCTAATAATAAATTATTGACAGAAGAATTTCTGTAGACACTTTTAAATAACAAGCAAGATGAGTAGATAAGACCATTTTATGATCTTTAAATATGTTAGTTTTTGTATTGTTATCGAATGAGAAGCAAGTTTTCAAGATATTTTAAGATTTGATTTTACGATTATTTTCTTTCGTTTTATTGACATATATTCGAACATTTCTCAAGATATAAAACTACTAATGTTCTGTCATTTTTATAGGTAGATAAAAGTGGGAATCGAAGAATGAATGAAAAGTTTTTATAAAGCGAAATTTTAAAATATTATCAAACCCCTATTGATCACTTGATGCGAATACGGATATTCGAGGAGTACAAAAGGGTTTTATTGATGTTTCTATTTTTAATATATCAAGATTCATTTTAGATGATATTCTGAAATTCACATTGATGTAAGTAACTATTTAGTTTAATTAATCAGATGACAAAATCCAAATTTTTACTTGAAATAAAGAGTTTGCACGTGAGAAAAAAACAATTACTTATAAATAGGTATTCCATGATATCAAATTTTCATCAAAATCGACGGTTGATCATGGTTCATAACAAAAAACCGATGGTTCGAATGGTTTATTCCTTTTCTTTATAAGTTTTCTAATAAATTAATATTTTCAGTCTTGAAGAGATCGGTTTCAATTAAAAAAAAGGTCGATTTTAATATGCCCTGTTCTATTTTTGCTAGATGACGCTAAATTTCTTTCGATTGATTAAGTCTTCTAGCTAATGATTATTTTTGTGACACCATCTTTAATAAATAATCAAACTCAAAAACTAAGTGAAAATAGTTGATGTATCTGGTACAGGCGACATGAAAACGCTCATAATAATAATGAGATATGGTTTGAACTGGAATCTAACATTTTTCTAAGGGCTTAAAAACATTCATGCACTGACGAGGGAAGGTCTTCAACTGATCCATGCTGTCTTCAATGATATTTTGTCCATATGTCGAGAACATTATTCTAAGAAAAATTCTAAGATGGTTTGGGCCCATAAGGTTTTCTTCGAAGGTTATGACCGTTTTACTGATTTTCCCATGTGACACAAGGTATATGCAGAAAACTCGAACAAACGAATTTGAATATGAAATTTTGCCCACATATAGTTTTCGTGGTCATTGGAATACTGTAACAGTTTTAGTAGAAAAAAATGTTTCATTGTCGAAATGTTCAATTTTTAAAAATGTCATTCTTTTAGGACTTTATAGATTACAAGACAAGTTTTGGGCAAAATTTCACATTCAAATTCGTTTGTTCGGTTTTTCTGCATATACCTTGTGTCACGTGGAAAAATCAGTAAAATGGTCATAATCTTCGAAGGAAGCTCTATGGGTCTAAACCCTCTTAGAACTTTTCTTAGAATAATGTTCTCAAGATGTGGACAAAATATCATTGAAGACGGTATGGATCAGTTGGAAACCTTTCCTCGTGAGAGTGCTTTGAAAAGACAACCACAGAGCTGTCCGAAGCTGAAGAATATTGTCTGTGAACATCTGAACATTTGAAAATAGTTTTGACAATTCAGTTAAGCTCATATGAAACCGTACGATATGCGAATGAGTGTATTTAGTTCGACAGATCATGGTCTAATGATGTGAAACTGGAAATGATTCGTTTAACATAATCATGGTATCAGTATCCAAGCTAGTCTTTAAAGCACTGATTTACAGCATTTCTTAGATACCTTATCATCCAAATACAGTGCGAATGTGATGTGTCTACAAATTCTAAAATGATGAATATGGCTTCCTGTGGCACGTCGTACACGATCAGTATAGCGTCTGTTAACGCTGCTGTTTTGATCGATTAGAGCATACCAAAATGAGAGTCATAGTTCTGACAACAGTAACCACGATCCAAAAGTTGGAAACTCAAGGAATTCAAGAAAACTTCTAAAATTGCTTGATTTTCTTGAATTCCAAGGCAAACTCGAGAATAAGGGTGAAGGCATCCTCTTCCTATATAGTATAGTGAAATTCAAGGAACTCAAGAAATTCAAGAAAATTTCTAGAATTTCTAGAATTGCTTGATTTTCTTGAATTCCAAGGCAATCTCGAGAGTGAGGATGAAGGCATCCTCTTCCTATATAGCATAGTGGAATTCACGAAAATTTCTAGAATTTCTAGAATTGCTTGATTTTCTTGAATTCCATTACAGTGTAAACTTATAAGGATTACACGACGTTTCCGCGCGCGACATTTCCGCGCCGACACTTCCGCGCACGACACTTCCGCGCAACGACATTTCCGCGCACGACACTTCCGCGCTAAATGAAGTTTTCTGTTTTTCCTGCGTTAAGTTAATACATCTTCTAAAATTTTATTAACTGTCCTGTTGGTGCGGCTGCAGAGTTTCGTTGTGAGTGTGGGAATGGAACGACGGCAACAGGAACCCTAATACCAACAACCACAATCCAACACCTAAATCTACACCAGAAATCATATCCGGATCCCAGATCCACATGGAAGCTCCCACCGACACTAACCTACACGCGCACTTCACAGCCCAAATCCACACCCACAGCAGCACCGATACCTGGAATGCCAGATGCATTACCTAGCATGCCAGTAGCACTACATGAGATGATAGTAGCATCACTGGAATGCTAGAGGCATCGCCTGAGTTTATAGAGATATTACCTTGGATGATAGAAGCATCACTAGGATGTTAGAGACATCATCTAGGCTGCTAAGCGCATCACCCGGGATGCTGGTTATATTATATGTGATGCTAGAAGCGACACATGGAAAGCAAGGAGCATCACTTACGATTCTGCGAACGATCCAA